TAAACTACCTTAAATCACCTTTAAATGTAGTTGGAGAGGATGTGGAGGTATAGGTCTCAGACAAGCCCCTACACTGGCAGTCTTCAGAAAGAATTTGAAAACCTGGCTGTTCCAATGTGCCTTTTCAGATTAGGAATCTCCCACTACCAAATCCCAGAAGCACTTTAGTACCAAATCACCACACACTGCACACCGCACTTATATCATAATCCCACACCCCTCCGATACATCAGCACTTTTAACCTTGTACCCCTACTCTGGCCGACTCAGTTTTTAATAATGTCTTGTCGTATTGTTATTGTTATTGTTTTTCTGCTTAACTGTTTTTATTTGCTAGATATTGTATTGTTGTATTGTGTTGGGCTTCGGCCTATTGTGAGCCGCATCGAATCCTTTGGGAGATGCTAGCGGGGTACAAATAAAGTTATAATAATAATAATAATAATAATAATAATAATAATAATAATAGGTTCCCTGGAAGATATGTGGTTACAGTGCTCTAAAGTGAAAGCTTTATGGAAATAAATAATAGATGGCTTGAGTTTAATATCTTATCCAGTGGTTCTCAACCTGTGTCCCCCCAGATGTTTTGGCCTTCAACTCCCACAAAACCTAACAGCTGGTAAACTGGCTAGGATTTCTGGGAGTTGTAGGCCAAAACACCTGGGGACCCACAGGTTGAGTACCACTGATCTAACCAAACAATCCAACTTAAGAGATATATTGCCACTTATAGAATTATAGGAGTTGGAAGAGACCACAAAGCCCATCTACACCAACCTGCCATGCAGGAATATACTACTAAAGCTCACCTTAATGACTGCGACAAAAATCAAGATCTATGCATGATGAGGATTTTATTTCCCTAAATCAGTGTTTCTCAAACTCTGCTCCTCCAGGTGTTTTGGACTTCAGCTCCCAGAAATCCCAGCCATTTTACCAGTTGATGGGAATTGTGGGAACTGAGTCCAAAACATCTGGAGGAGCAGAGCTTGAGAAACACTGCCCTAAATCAATCTCCTCCAACAAAGTGTCCACCACTTGGGTTGGATCTCAGTAGTAAACAACTGTGGTATAATTTGTAATCTTGGAGAAGACTGTCCTAATTACTGTCAAAATGTTTCTTTCAATAACACAAATGATTCTGGGACAAAATGTAAGAACTATCATCAACAGATCAAAAGACATTGGATTTTCCAAGTTTTTCACATATCCAAAAAGCATCCCATAAAGAAAATCAAGGAGAATCCTGGCTTTCTTTTTTCACTCCTGTCTTGCTCAAGAATCATTCTCAACATTTACACTAAAAAACTTTCTAACAGTTTCTATAGTGAAGAGGAGAGAAAGGGTTAAGACTATGAATCCTTCTGAAAACCAAAGTCTGAAAGACACTCCATTATGGAATAAATATAACAAGTTGAGGTTTCTAAGATGAGAAGTTAATCATCTGGGTAATGTTCCAAACAGCATTTCTTTGCCATGTATTATATAAATGTTTTATTGCCTGGTATAAATTACAAGGAACTCACCTGTCTTCTTATAAAGCAAATCATGTGTTTTCAGGTGCAGCTTTCCATTAGCTGTGAAAGGGTGAAAGACCAGCAAAACCAGTTTTGTATTAATCTTCAATGCTGGCAGTAATTTTTTCACACCATCCTGGTAATCATGACCACAAATGTAATCTAAATAGCCTATCCCCAAAATGTATATAGACAGAGTGAGAAATAATTTATACTTCTTTTCCTGTGGAACAGATAGGTTTGGCAAATATCCCAGTGCATTTGAAAGTTCATTTCCATGAGACAAAGCTACTTAAATCAAGCTTTGTACTACTGAAATCCTATTTATAACACGGTATGTTAGCTTGAGACTGGTGGGAAGATTTAATGAGTTTGCAATAATGAATGGTTTATTGATTGCTTTGCTGATTTACTTACAGCAATCCTAGCAGAAGCAATTTAACTACAGTTAGCAAGAAAACCAAGGCAGAAAGTGCAAAGACAGGTTTACAGTTGAACATTAATAAAAGAAAAATAAAGACCACAGACTATTTACATAATTTTAAAGTAGAAGTGGGAGACATTGAAAAACAGGCAGTCCCCAAGTTACAAACAAGATAGGTTCTTCAGTTGAACTTGTAAGTTGGAACAGGTATATTTTTAAGTGTAGCACCAGCCATGTATGTATGGGTATGTATGTATATGTGTGTGTGTGTGTGTGTGTGTGTGTATGTGTGTGTGTGTGTACAGTATTTATATTCCACCCTTCTCACCCCGCAGGGGATTCAGGGCAGATTAAAATGCACATATACATGGCAAACATTCAGTGCCATAGACATACAACATACATAGACAGACACAGAGGTAATTTAATATTCCAGCTTTCTGGCTTCATGAGAGTATGCTCGGTTCCAGCCACAGGGGGAGCTGTCGCTTCACCGTCCACTTGTGACACTGAGTCCTTGATGGAGTACTTCCTCACTCTTACTCATGCTGCTGGAAGATTTTATAGTGTGGTAAATTAGTTAAATTAGCCTCCCTGCATAAAGCCGTACCTAAATTTCCTACTTGACAGATGCAACTGTCTTTAGGGCTGCATAGGTCAACAGCAAGTTAGACTATTAATGGTTGGGAGCTCACTCTGACCCGGGCTGGTTTCGAACTCATGACCTCTCGGTCAGTAGTCATTTAATGCAGCTGGCTTCTAACTAGCTGCAACACACAAGCATAGCATAGGGAAGGGTTAACACCCATGTTGTGCTTGTTCTGCTGCCTGTGCCTCTGTTCAGAAGAATTCACCTCACTTTCTATCCCTGTGATTGTGATAATTGGATTTTGAAAAATTTGGCTTGTTGTGGAAGTAAGGATAAAGCTTCAGTGGAAACACCTTTCCCCCATGATAACCTTTCCAGGAGTGTATTTCCCTTCTCAGGGGTAGATTTCTCTCACTTCCTGTTGTCTCTCACCTGTTTGTAACTATGAATAATTTGTAAGTTGGATGTTTGTAACTCAGGGACTGCTTATAGTTCAAGATTTTCCATGGGTTCAATCAAAAGAGCATTCAAGTAATCAGAAAACTAAGACTGTATTTACACTGTAGAATTAAGGTAGCTTGACACCACTTTAACTGCCTTGGCTCAATGCTGTAGAATCATGGGAGTGGTAATTTGGTGAGGCATCAGCACTATTTTGCAGAGAAAGCGGAAGACCTTGTAAAACTACACCTCCCATACTTCCATATCACTAAGCCAAGACAATTAAACTGGTGTCAAACTGTATTAGTTCTACAGTGTAGATGTACCCTAGGACTTGGAAGGACAACTCTATAGGTCACAAGTTGCTCACCTTAATTCCAATGAGGAATACACAGAATCTGTCTGCTCTTCTGGACTCCAACACAACACTGGTATAACTCCTTAATCTTTTTTGAACTTTTTTCCAAGTAAACCTCGTGACTGCACCCTAATAATCTAAATAAGGAGGATTCACCTTGCTAGCTATTAAATAGCAACATTATATTGCTCTAACGAGAAAACCTTTACACTCCCTGCCCATACGGCACCCTCCTTCACTTGTGGTGGTTTTGCAACATGTGGGTGCATATAACCTTCTTGACTTCTTAACTAATTTTGGTCTAAATTTGATTTGGTGGAGACCACCCTTCCACTGTGACCCTTCTTCATTCTTATTTAAAGATTGCCAGTTCCAGTACACATCAACCCAATAGTAAGCAATATTAGGAATGTCTTGGCAATCAAGATGCGTATGATTGAGAAGCATAAAACCACCCACAGGAAATTAGCCACATGTGTGGAGTTTGTTGTCTGGTCTTTTGTTTTGGACTTCAGAAATGCAAAGATATAAACTTTGGAAATGCACCAGAATAGGTAAATATGAAATAGGAAGAATGAATACGAAATGGCTAGACGATGCTGCTGGATAATGATTCCAACAGGATGATACCGGTGACTATATATTTTTAATGGTTTATATATGTTTTTATAATGTTGGATTTAATATTTTAAACTGTATTTTAGGAATGCATGGCATCAAATTTGCCAGTTCTGTGAGCCGCCTTGAGTGGCCGTAAGGCTGAGAAAGGCGGGCTACAAATGCCGCAAATAAATAAATAGATAAATACAAAATGGGGGATGTCGGGCTCGACAGCATGAAAAAGATGTGAAAAAGATCTTGGAGTCTTCTTGGACAAGTTAAACATGAGCCAACAATGCCATTTGACAGCAAAAAAAAAAAGCCAATGGGATTTTGGCCTGCATAAATAGAAGTATATTGTCTAGATCCAGGGAAGTCATGCTACCCCTCTATTCTGCCTTGGTCAGATCACATCTGGAATCACACCGTGTCCAATTCTGGGCACACAATTGAAGGGAGATGTTGACAAGCTGGAATGTGTCCAGAGGAGGGTGGCTAAAATGAACAAGGTTCTGGAGAACAAGTCCTATGAGGAGCGGCTTAAAGAGTTGGGCATGTTTAGCCTGAAGAAGAGAAGCTGAGAGGAGACATGATAGCCATGTATAAATATGTGAGGGGAAGTCATAGGGAGGATGGAACAGGCTTGTTTTCTGCTGCTCTGGAGACTAGGACACGGAACAATAGCTTCAAACTACCGGAAAAGAGATTCCCCCTGAACATTAGGAAGAACTTTCTAACTGTGAGTACTGTTCAGCAGCGGAACTCTCTACCCCGGAGTGTGGTGGAGGCTCCTTCTTTGGAGACTTTAAACAGAGGCTGGATGGCCATCTGTCAGGGGTGCTTTGAATGCAATTTTCCTGCTTCTTGAAAGGGGGTTGGACTGGATGGCCCATGAGGTCTCTTCCAACTCCATAATTCTGTGACCATTGGCTGAGGCAGCTGAGGCTCCTGGGAACTGAAACCTCAAATATCTAGAAGCCTGGTATTCGGCAATTACTTTTCTGTCATTTGTAGCTTGGGAGAAAGTTCCCCTGACCTCTAAGGCAAATAAAGGAGACATACTTAGGAAAACAAAAAAAATTGGTTTTTCCTTTTTTATTATTATTAATAGATGTTATTTTAAAAACCATTACACAACGTTTCTTTACTTTATGAGAGCAACTGTTCTGCAACAAGAGAGTAACCAGAAAAAATTAACTACATTTCTTGCTCAAAATATGTATTCAAATGTATTCGGAATAATTCATATTTTAATTTAGAACAGTATCATTCTTCGTGTTTTTCTGTTCTACGCCATTCTTACACTCAGTTTCCTTTTTAAAAGCAAAACAAGTAAACTAAAATTAGCTAACACTTCTTAAACAGAACCATAGAACCAATCCTTTTGGAGCAGAGCTGAAGATTTGTCCACAAAGAAACCGGTAAGCAAATAAGTATCATTCTACCCAAATTTTTTTTAGAAAAGGTATTGGAAAAAAAGAAGACAGGAATTTATCTCCAAATGAAGAATTGAACTTTTGGTGGGACTTTAGAAGAAGAAATGGCTTTGGAGAAAGGGTGCACAGGAGTAAATGTAAATAAAAGAGGGGAAAATGTATAGTATACGTCTATATAACTGTAATTTTTCTCAAATAAAAAATTATTGATAAAAAAAGAAGTGGTGGAAGAGCAATGGGAAAAAAAGCTGGTTCTACCTGCAAAAAACGTTGCTCAGCTGGCTCCTGTAGCTGGCAAGCTCGTAGGACTTCTTCTTTTGACAGAAACACCTTCTGATGGTACTGTCCCCCTTTTTATGGTTCTAAAGTGGATATGTATTGTCGAATGCTTTCATGGCTAGAATCAATGGGTTGTTGTAGGTTTTTCAGGCTATATGGCCATGTTCTAGAAGCATTCTCTCCTGACGTTTCGCCTGCACCTATGGTAAGCATCCTCAGAGGTTATGAAGTCAGGAGAGAATGCTTCTAGAACATGGCCATATAGTCCGAAAAACGTACAACAACCTAAATGGATATGCTGGCCAATAAAATCAGAATGCAAAAATACAAGGATGGAACAGAAACTACATCAGCACACAGATATGGAAAAATATTTAGAAATCAAATCATTCTGGTGAATACAATAAAGTTTAAAATAGAATGCCAATACTGAATTTCTAGAGTTATTGATTTTGTATGATGTTTGGTTTGATCCTGAGGTTTTAGGGAACCTAACACACTCCCACAAACGTTGGGCTTGCCATCCACCTGGACAGGTCTTCCTTTCCTTACTGCATTCTGCTTATCATGGTGGAATTATAGCCCTTGAGAGAAAAGGTACCAACAAAATGCTCATAAAACACGTATGAGGTCTAATGATATCCTGGATTGAGGGATGTTAATGTCACATACTCTGACTTCTACTTTTTCTCCTGGACCCAGGGCGAGACTTCTTCTTTTCTTTGCTTTTGAAAGCTTGTCTTCTGTTATCCTCTGAATTGGAATCAGTCCTGCTTTGCCAACTCCAATGTCAACAAAAACTCCAAAGAGAGTAGCATTCTCAACTCTTCCTGTGAGTATTGTTCCAACACTTAAGTCTTCAAGGCAAACAATGCTTCTCTTGAAATCAGGTTTGTCAAAATCTGTTATAAAAATGGAACACAACATCATGATTGTAAAACTATTTGATATAAAAGCAAACAACTCAAATTGCACTGTGGGAAACCTATAGGTGCCCATGACTATAGGTGCCCACATAATAAGAAAATATATTCAGCTTCCCAGTTAAGAATTTATTTGGCTTTGATAATGAATATAGAATATAATAGAAGAGTAGTAGGAGCCACTTTGAGTCTACTTTGGGAGAGATAAAGCGGGGTATAAATAAGTATAATCTATAAAAATAAAAATATAATGTTCATTTGTGGAAGTAACATAAATCAAAAACCACTGGATGAATTGACACAAAACTTGGACACAATACACCTAACAGGCCAACAAGTGACCATCACTCATATAAACACTGAAAAACACAATACAAGGGACTTAAAAAGCCAAAAAAGCAAAAAAAAATACTACATGACATGCACAAAAACAATTTCCCCTGGCAACCAAAACACACAATAGCATAGCCACACCCTCTTTTGGACTACAGCTCCCAGTATCCCCTAGACCAGGCCCTTTAGGAGAGGAGGATGATCCAAATGTACTGCTTCCAAGCTGCAAGCTTTCTTCACCTTGGATACCTTTCCCTGCATATTTGCAATTTCCTATTCCTGGACTGCAACTCCCAGCAATCCTCCAGACAGATAAGATAGATAGATTAGAGATAGATAGGTAGGTAGGTAGGTAGGTAGGTAGGTAGATTGATCAGAAGGACTGCTGGGAGTTGCAGTGCAAAGAATAGGTAGAGAAGGAAGAAAGGGGAGAAAGAGGAAGAAAAGGGGGGAGGAAGGGAAGAGAAAGAGAAGGAAGAAGGAGAAAAGAAAGAAAAAAAAGGAGGAAGGAAGAAGGAAGAAGGAAGAAGGAAAAAGGAAGGAAGGAGAAGGAGAGAAAGAAAGGAGAGAAAGAGAGGGAAGGTTGGCCACAGCAACACGTGGTGGGTACAGCTAGTTAGTAGTAGTAGTAGTAGTAGTAGTAGTAGTAATAATAGGTTCTTGTGGGTTTTTTCGGGCTATCGGGCCATGTTCTAGAGGCATTTCTCCTGACGTTTCGCCTGCATCTATGGAAAGCATCCTCAGAGATCTCTGAGGATGCTTGCCATAGATGCAGGCGAAATGTCAGGAGAGAATGCCTCTAGAACATGGCCATAGAGCCCGAAAAAACCTACAGCAACCCAGTGATTCCGAGCCATGAAAGCCTTCGACAAAATAATAATAATAATAATAATAATAATAATAATAATATTCTATGGAACTTGCAAGATGAAGGACAAATTGTTCACCACTTGCTTATTGGGGACTCTTGGGTGCATTAGGTAAACTATTATTTTGCCTCAGATGCCAATGAAAATATAAGAACATCTATCACTGATAAAGTTTTTAACTCAGTGTAATATAGTGATTTGAATGCTAGATAAGGACTCAAATAGACCAAGATTCAAATCACCATTCAGGTATGGATCTTGGGCAAGTCATAATCACTCATCTTCAGATGAAGGCAATCTCAACTCCAGTTGAATAAATCCTCTCCAAAAAGCCTTGTGAAAGATTTGCCTTAAGGCCATCTTGAATCAGAAACAACTTGAAGGCACACAACAAAAAACTTATTAGACCCAAGGCCCATCTAATTTTACATTCAGTAGGCAACCAAATGCCTTTATGGGAAGTCAACAAGAAGGAAGTCATAACTTGGTCTTATATTTCCCACTGTTTGGTATTTAAAAGCATATTGCTTTGGAAACTAATTTCCAGTCTGAATTAATCTACAGTTAGCATGGCTAGTAGCCATTGATTCCCAATGATTTCCCTGAAAACTCTGTATTTGCTTTACTCATGGTAGAAAAGTCCACAGGATACTGATGTTTGAATGAAAATCAAATGCGAGAAAGCTGGTTCTCAAAATCCACAGTTCATTCTATATACACATTCCCAGATACTTGTATTTCTGAATGTTATATTTCTTTTGTTATGGCTTTCACTTTGTGAAATACTCTGTGTGTGGGAAAGAGGGAGATCTCAAATGTTTTTGGAAAGTTTTGGAAGGGGAAAAAAAGCTCTCTACAGTCAAGACCAGCAGTAATAGTGACAGCAGACGGCATGACTTCAACATTTCCAATGAAGAAATGAACCTAATTACTCAACTCCCAAAGAGTGAAGTTTCTTGCAGTATCACTATATACAGTGCAAGCAGTTTTCTTACACACACTAGCTTACCTAAGTAAGTAAATACCTTTTAATGGCTACATTGAAGATAATCTTAGGTACCCATTCTGGAGTAACGTATATGCTTTACAGACTCCCTGTACTCCCCACCCCCGTTATTCTTGAGATGTTGAGTGGCTTTGCACCCCTAATCTGCTCCCTATATATAAAATAAGCCGCTAAACATTTGCACATGAAAAAAGCCCTCATTTTGTGTGGTCGGTTGTATAATTAAATCTTTTGGCTGCACAACCGTATATACTGTACTTTCCATTACTTTTACGAGCTTTCTACTGATTCCACCAGTCCCCAAATCAATCGTTTTCTTAAATTCCACTAAGCAAAGGGTTGTGATTTTAAAAATAGAACATGATACAGCTTTAAAATGGTGCGTCTGTTGCAATAAGAATTGGTTCTGAAGTGCAATTATTGTGGCTTAGTGGTACTTGAACATGGAAGTTGTAACTATGACGCAAAATCAGGATACCCTGTCTTGGGGGTTTGGGTGTATGTGTGTTTTAGATACTTTTTCAAAAGTTTTTGTCTTTATGTCACTTACCACATTCAGACATGATGCTAGACACCTAAACTATACTTTAACATGAAAATACATGCTATATTGTGCCCAACTAGCATGCATAGAGAAATTCACGACTAGTCTGTATCAATTACAATTGAACATTACTTGATCCAGCAACAACCCAGTGATTCTAGCCATGATTATCTTCAAAGCTTAAGCTTCAAAACCAATAGTATGAAGTTGATTCAATCAAAGCAAATAATGGTTACATTAATCACAGTTTCAATCTTTCAAAAGACACAATACAACAAGCTCTGTTTCAGCAATGAGAAAGAACTCAAATGCTTCCAGACTTCTCTTGTAATCCACACCGGGAGGACGGGAGATGGATGGACACTGGTGACATTTATATTTTTATATTGTATGTTAATGCTTTTAATAATTTTTATGACTGTGATACTTTTAATTGTTATGACTGTTGAGACATCAAATTGTTGTCACTTGTAAACTGCTCTGAGTCGCCTCCGGGCCAAGAGGGGTGATATATAAATATGGTAAATAAATAAATGTGAGACTAAGGGTGTATCTATACTGTAGAATTAATACAGTTTAGCAGTACTTTAACTGCTATGGCTCAATGTTATGCAATTATGAAAATTGTAGCTTTACACCTTCTTTAGCCTTCTTTCCTAAGGGGTGTTGGTGCATCACCAAACTACAACTCCTATGATTCCATAGCATTGAGCCATGGCAGTTAGTGGTGTCCAACTGCATTAATTCTACTGTGTAGATGCATCCTTAATCTCATATGCTACCATCGTTTCCTCCCCTCATCACAGCTCCGATTTTGGGTTCCTAATCTTATCACTCAAAATGTAGCCATGGTCTACTCTATATGAAAGTTGGGTGGTTGTCAGCCTATGGATGAAAGTTAGATAGTAGGGTAGAAAGTTGGGTAGTTGTCAGCCTATAGATGTTGTCAGACTCCAGCTTCATAAAACACCTGGAAAGCTCGCATTTCATCTCTAAACCAAGCCATGATCCAATTCATTATATCTCGTTATCAACTTTATTCTCTAGGACAGTGGTTCTCAACCTGTGGGTCCCCAGGCATTTTGGCCTACAACTCCCAGAAATCCCAGCCAGTCCACCAGCTGTCTGGATTTCTGGGAGTTGAAGGCCAAAACATCTAGGGATCCATAGGTTGAGAACCACTGCTCTAAAAAGCCTCTTGTATGTACTTTAAAGATATCTGCATATAACTGAAGGAATTTTATTTAAATGAATATTGATCCAGACTGAACTGATCCATACTTTCTGAACTGAACTAGTCTAGATTCTAAAATCTCCAAACTTCCAACGTATTACAATATTGTTTTTTAAAAAATTGAAATATTGAAAAAGTTGTGTATTCTATGAGAAAATACACTTACAACTGAAAACTTTAAGAGAAAACAGCTTTAGGTATAAGTGTATATATGCAAGAAAATAAACAAATGGAGCAGAATAACTTGACATGTAAATATGCACAAACATATGAAACAAACTTTGTTCATGCTACATATCACTTCCCAATTTCTATGCCTCTTGTTTGTTTTTGGGAGCAATGAGGTAGATAAAGTTTAATTAAAAATGACCTGTAGTAAAAATCTACATCAAGTTAATTTGTTTGACCCAGTTCATCTAACCCTCAAGAATGATGCAACATAATCTCCCAGTAAAAAACCCAAAAAATGTGATCATTTGCTTTTGTTCTTGCACACTTGAGGAACTATTCAAGCAGAAAAAGTGATGATTTACAAATGATCTTCAAAGGTAACGGTGAATCAATAGAATCAGTGCAGGGAGTTTAGTTATTGTCACCTGTGTCAAAAACACCAAGAAGTATGAACCCATCAGGATCTATAGAGATTGTTTTCTTATAGCTTTGAAGGACCATGATTTAGAGAGAGGCTTCAAATTTCTTAATTATAAAACCACCTCTTGCTACTCACACACTCTGCAGAGTAACACAATACTTCCTTTCCTAGACAAAGGGAGGGAGTTATTACTCCACTTTAAAGTGACGCTGGATTTACACATTAAAAAAATAAACATCCAATGCAATGACATAGAGATAACTGAGCCGTCACCCTAAACATCTTACCTTTTCGGATGTCAAAGCCTTCAGGTTGAGTCAACCCATCAATGATTATTTGTAGAGTTTGCCCTGTTGTATTTAGCTTTTTTGATATTCCTTCCATCCCTTCTCTTCCAATCATCACGTTCACTTTTTGCTGCATTTCTGGCTTTCCTACCTCACTGGGGCTACCTCCAATGAGAGTTAGAAACCTTACAAGTAAAAAGAAAGAAAGAGGGGATAACAGAGAGCAAATGATCAATGTTCCTTTCTCAATATACTGTTTTTAAAAACCCTTCCTAGATTATTTCTCTGTATTTTTCAAATGTATTGATTTTTTTTTTGTCATGCATATCTATCTAGCAGAGTTTTGTGTGACGAAAAGCTTGGAGCTTTCCTCAAATTATGCAAAAGCAAAACACACATCTACCCAGACACCTAAATACCTTTTGTTAAAAATTTCATAGATCACAAAAACATTAAGAAGTGGTTAATGTGCCAAATTCCAACTCTAACATAAGGCAATGTTCAAAATCTAGTTCGGGGGGGGGGGGGGGGGGGGGGAGTAGTTACACTAACTCAGTAGTTTATTCAGTTGGTTTATGAAACAAATAGATGAGAAAATGCATCACCTTCTTTTTTACAGAAAGCTAAAAGATAGATGGAGTCCAAAGCTTCTTAAAGTCTTACTTGTTAACATAATGGGGCCTGTCTGTCATGTTTTTAATGCTCTTTGGGTCATTTTAGGCCTAAGAAGGACTTTTTTCAAAATCAAAAAAGAAAGGAACTCCACAATTACTATAATTCTTTGCTTCTAAGACACTGTCTATTGTAAGATACACACATATTTCAGTACCACTAACATAAAAAGCCCCCCCCCCCATATATATGCACATCTAAGACACATTCCATTTTCGTAGGTGTTTATATGGTGAAAAAAGTGTGCTTTAGAACAGAAAAAATACAATATTTGTTTCTTGTGGGGTAATTGAAGGCTGCACTTTCCCCACCCTTGATCTAGTTTCTCAAAACACGGCCAGCCTAAACAATAGATCATACACTTCTCATATCAGGGGAGTCCAATTGCCAACCTAGGTGGATGAGAGCAGTCCAAAACCTGAAAATAAGCCTCGGAGTTACTGACTTATTGCTTACTTAGGAATATATTTATATCTTGTCCTTCATGAGCACTCAGGGAAACTTACAATTAAAATCAATTTAAAACAATGTAAAACAATAAACAACAAAACAATTTAAGCAGACTGACACATAAGAGACAAGTGAACAAGTTAAAATCACTTAGAAGAGTAAAACATTTACATTTGGTGGTAGGGGGAAGGGGTGGGAGAACAGCAGAGCCCCCAAAAGCTGTAATAAAACACCAAGCTGAGGCCAACACTGGTACCAAATGGACCTCCAAGGGAGGGGGTTTCACAATTCAGGTGCTATTGCAGAAAAAAATATTATCCCATACCAATACACAAAGTGTTTTAGGTGTAAATATATTAAGGAACCTACAGCAGATGTTAAGTCATCAACAGGCATATATAGGGGAGGTTCTTTTTGAATTATTGAGGACCCAAGCCATTGTGACCTCTGAACATAATCACCAGTGCATTGTTTTGTTTATTTGTTTGTGTTTATCCTGCTGTTTTCCCAATATAGGGACACAAGAATAGTGATCGTTGCATTTGACTAATCACGTGTTACTCATGAAAGCTCATGCAAGCAATTTTGAATGGGACTACTAGTCAATCTAAAAGATGTTATCTCATTCTTGGCTGAGTAGACTACTACATCATCACGGAAAGATTTTGGAGTAAATAAATCTACTGCTGAAACAATTCAGTTATAATTTTCAAAATGCATCAATTTCTAGTAACTTCTGGTAATTCACAAACACGTTCTATAGCTCAGCAGGCAAATCAACATGAAAAATAATGTGAACAACAGAAGTCAGAGCATGGAATGCATGGTTCTACTCTTCCTTTTCCTTCCATTTCCCCCAGCATCATTGTCTTCTCATGATGTGGCCAAAGTACTTCATCTTGGCCTCTAATATCCTTCCCTCCAATGAGCAGTTGGGCTTTATTTCCTGGAGTATGGACTGGTTGGATCTTCTCGCGGTCCAAGGCACTCTCAGAACTTTCCTCCAGCACCACAGTTCAAAAGCATTTATCTTCCTTCGCTCAGCCTTCCCTATGGTCCAGCTCTCATAACCGTAGGTAACTACGGGGAATACCATTCCTTTAACTATGCGGATATTTGTTGCCAGTGTGATGTTTCTACTTTTCACTATTTTATCAAGATTGGTCATTGCTCTCCTCCCAAGAAGTAAGCGTCTTCTGATTTCCTGGCTGCAGTCTGCATCTGCAGTAATCTTTGCACCTAGAAATACAAAGTCTGTCACAGCCTCCACATTTTCTCCCTCTATTTGCCAGTTATCAATCAGCCTGGTTGAAGGAATCTTGTTTTTTTTTTTAATGTTTAACTGCAACCCAGCTTTTGCACTTTCTTCTTTCATCTTAATTAGAAGGCTCCTCAGCTCCTTCTTGCTTTTGGCCATCGAAGTGGTATTATATGCACATCTAAAGTTGTTAATGTTTCTTCCAGCAATTTTAACCCCAGCCTTGCATTTGTCAAGCCCCACACATTGCATGATGTGTTTTGTATACAAGTTGAATAGGTTGGGTGAGAGAATACAACCCTGACGTATGCCTTTCCCAATTTTGAACCAGTCTGTTGTTCCATGGTCAGTTCTTACTGTTGCTACTTGGTCCTTATACAGATTCCTCAGGAGAGACAAGGTGGCTTGGGATGCCCATACCACCAAGAACTTGCCACAATTTATTATGATCCACACAATCAAAGGCTTTAGAATACACTTTGTATGTCTATAATCAGTTATGGAATGGTAACTTAATAAGCAATAAAGAAAGGGGTTTTTTAATGTCATTGGTACACTTAAAATGATGTGGGCATAAATAACTTCTTAATCAGACTATTTGTTAGCTCATAAATCATGGCATGTATGATGTTAAAATGTCCACTGTATTTCCTTAGCTTGATTATTTAAAATATTGGCAGTGGAAATACTCATAAATTGAAATAGCCACTAAATCCCTGATAGGGAACCACTGAATCTTGGTGTTGATGGATGGACAATGCCACACCACAATGGTAAAGACAGGCAACAGCTGTCTAAGCCCTGACTGACGTGGCAGATGTGACTTGGCTGACGACTACAGTCCCATGACTCAATAGTCTAAATAATATATCCTTCCTAGGGGAGGCTTACAAATTTTCATACATTCATAAACAAAGACTGATTGTACCAGGTTGGAAATGCAATCCAGAGTAGCCAGAATTGTCACACTTTCTTGTAAATATTTTACACAAGCACCACCATAAATATATACTAATGGAGCAGTATTGACACTCCATGACTGCAGACATTTGGGATACAGACAGCACAGAAGAAAGAAACAAGATACGGATAATATACTCTGGTTGTTTTGAGTGGTCTAGTATAAAAGGAAACACATAACATGATTCATAACTTTAGTCCTTTCTTTAGGATTGTTTATATCTTGATGCAGATTACAAAGAGTCTCAGAATTATTTGAAATTGAACTTGCAAATTTTAATCCACTTTAACAAGTAGATCAGCAGCAAAAGGTTCAATTTATTGGTGAAGTAGATGATTTTGATACAGACTGGCAATTTCTAAAAATAATTGGTTGAGTTGCACAACACTGTTTTAACTTTTGAGACTACTTTTATGTTTGAATAACATGAATAAAATTGTATATAAAAGATGCATGTAAATCCACCTATCCTTTAAAAAATCCCCAAAGTGAATGATATAAGAGTATAACAAAAATGATAAAAAGTTATTCTTAAGGATGGTTTTCCCTTTAAAATAATGTAATAGCTTTTCACATACAGCATGAGCCTTGTACTTCTAAGGTCTGTACCCATGGGTTCATAGACTTGACATGGTGGTTGTTAGAGCGGTCTAGCATTTCTGCATTCTAAAATAATATGCTGTGTTCAGGTTGGTTTATCCTGTGCTCTGCTATGGCTAACTTCTCTGGTTGAATTAGTCTGCAGTGCCTTTCATGTTCCTTGATTCGTGTTCCTTGATTCAGACCACTATGTCAGACTACACAGAGAAGCTTCTGGAACATGGCCATACAGCCCGGAAAACTCAAAACAACCCATAAGATATTTCATTATGTGTATGCAAATGTTCCAAAATCTGAAAAAAAAAAACCCTGAAATTTGAAACACTTTTCATCCCAAGTATTTCGGATAAGGAATATTCCATGGACCACGATAAGTCTTGTTACCTTAAATGAAATTTTATTTTTCATATGCCTTTGTAGCAGTAGTTCACAAAAGGTGTTGCTGCTGCTGTGTGCCTGTAAATCATTTCAGACCTTTGGTGTCCCTACAATGAACCTATCACAGGATTTCTTAATGAAACGTGTCAAGAAGAAGCTTGCCATTGCTTTCCTCTGAGGCTGAGAAATCATGATTTGAGCAAGGTTACCTGTGGGTTTCATGGCCAAGCAGGAATTCGAATCATGGTCTCCAGAGTCATAATCCAATGTCCAAACCATTACACAACACTTGCGTCATGTAAAATTATCCTATAAGATGTCATAAACCCCTTTGTTGTTTTTGTAAGACTTTAAAGAAACATCAAACCAGCCCCAGAATTAATAAACAACTCAGACTCCTCTTCAAAGAACCATAGACTTTTCCTGTGCCTTTTTAGTTAGAGAAAGATGTCATTTCCATGTCAACAGAGTCCTTAATGACTATAGATGTATTTTCATTTTTCTCTAAAATCTGGTTGTTTAATCTGGTTACATATTTCATAGATCATTTTCGCTCAAAGAAACGTGCTTTGAGGGCACTTGGAACAGAAATCAATATTAAAACAAAGCTCCGTCTCAGCGGTAATGCATATTGACCACCTCTATTTTTAAACGTCATTGCTAAGAACAAAGTGAAATGCTTTTGCATGTTGCAAAACGTCCTCCGAGTTACACTGCAAGGTCACAGAAAACGGAGCCAGAAAAGAAGGATATTACCTTCTAAAAGAAAGGAATCAAAACAGACCGCATTACAGGCAACTTCCTCTTCTCCCTGCTTTTATTTGGTTTTTGTTGGGTTGAACAATGGACTGACATATGGTATTTAA